AGATTTATGAAAATATTTTAATTGAATTATATAAAATTTAATTTTAGTTAATTATCTATATATATATATATATATATATATAAATTGTTGTTCGGTGATCTGTTATTATTATGTTCATAGTAAAAATTAATTTAAATTAATTTTACTGTTTCTTGTGACTGGTTATTTATCATAAAACTCAATTATAATTGACTTTTCTTGATAAGTCAATTGTATAACGAGAAGTTAATTATAATTTATTTTACTTACATCTATATATTCAATACTCATTAATATTGACTTTACTCATATTAACTTTCACTCATTCTGTGTCGCAGCTACCATGTTTAAGAAAAGAAAAACATTACAACTATAAAAAATGATAAATAAAAACTTTTGCAACCAAGACTTTACGGAATTTATGAGATGTCATTTAAAATTTATCGTTTTATTTAACGTGAGGGCATTTGAACATATTTTACTTCTTTTAGCGTGCATGTAAAATTTTGCATTTTCCTAACTTAGCAAACATTAGAATCAATTAAACCACCAACTCCAATAAAACTACGACATCTCAAATTTTTTTTAGTTACGCTCTTATAATGTCTATAATTAACTAGTTATACAAATACCATATATTTATCAATATTTACTTCATTTAAATTATAATTAACGATATAAAATAAAGAAAATGTAAAAGAAATATTAAAACAAGAGCAACTCCTCTATGGAAGGCATGTCAAAAATCAATCAAAGTCTTTGAAGGATAAGTTCACGAAAACACGGAAGATAAAACACTATTCTTTTGATGAGAGTGGCATGTTTCTCAGACTTTGGCACAGAAACTATCACGTGAAGTTACTCCTTTACTGTAATCTGAACTTGTCCCCAAGCATGAGTTCTTCCCCGTGAAACGTTGAATCACATTTCTGAAGTTTACAATGTCGGTTTTAACGTAGCAAGTTTTGGTCAGGAGAAAAAATATATTAAAAGATTGAAAAACTCATTTTTGAATGAGCGAAGAATATAACTGAAGTTCATTAACAACTTCTTACACAGTAGACCGTTAAGTAAAATAACGAACTTTTGATAGGTAAAATATCATGCAGCAGCAAAGGATTTAAATCGGCTTTTATGACAACATATGGTAAATAAAAGTCAATTAAAATTAATTTTTTATTAATAAAAAATAATTGAAATTAACTTTTATATAACTCAAAGTAAAATATTAATGTAAATTTGTTTAATCTATAGTATATACATAATATGTCATTTAATTAATTTTATTTATGTAAAATTTTATTTATTTTTTATTTTTTTTAATTCACATCTAAATACTTTTATTCTAATAAACAATATTTTTAATACTTTTTTCTACTTTTAAATCGTTACACATGGTCGAGCTAAGACATTTTATGTATCTTAAGAACAGCTAAGCCAAGATATTTTTTGTTTCTTTTTCTAGCGGTACATATGGAGTAGAGTAGGAGAGAGGGAGAGAAAGAGATAAAAAGAGTATTATGTTAATATTTAGTTCATGTGTTGCAAGTTTAACGAAGTTGCCAATTATTTTTTCAAGTGCTGCACGGGATGATTTCACCTTGTCAATTATATATCCTATTTTGCTAGCGCAGACGGACAAAACAAATTACCTTTATAGTTTAGGGGGTTTTAGGTGGCAGAATATAACAGGTCTCTTGGTAAATGGTTGTGGCAAGATGTTAACTGTTCTAATTCATTGTGGGTGCGGGTGTTAGAATCTAGATATGGAAGATTAGCTTCTTCTCTTCAGCGTTCATCAGTTCACAACATATGTTCTTTGTGGTGGCGTGATTTGCTGGAGGTTATTCATCAAGGGAATTCATAGCTGGATAAGAAGTTTGATAGAAATGTGGGTGCAGGTTTACACACTCTTTTTTGGAGAGATAAGTGGGTAGGAGGGGTGCAATTGTATGAAGCATTTTCGTGATTACTTGCAGTGGCGAGAAATGCTGAATCACGTGTAGTGAAGAATGGTTTTCATGATGGCACTAGATGGGTTTGGAATGTTAGTTAGCGAAGAGAACTCTTTCAACATGAGATCTCGAGCTTTAATCTTTTGTTAGAGCTTGTGGACGGAGTTTCTATTAAGTTACTACAAGAAGATAAATGAGTATGGAGGGTAGATTCTTCAGGTTGTTATTCAGTACAATCTGCGTATTCATGGCTATTTGAACTTTTTGGTGGTCCTAATAGTGTAGATCAGTGTACGGCAGATACCTTACAAAGGCTATGGAGAGGGAAGGTCCCTCTTAAGTGTCTGGTTTTTTCTTGGCAATTGTTGTTGAATGCACTTCCTTATAAAGGTTTACTGATCGATCGTGGTGTTTAAATTGATAATATAACTTGTTGTTTCTGTTATGGTTTGGAGGAACTTCCAACTCATTTATTTTTAACGTGCTCAGTTTCATCTCAAATCTGGTACTTTACTGCGCGTTGGCTTGGATTCTCACTGGTTTTGCCTTCAGATTTATCGACTCACTTGCTTTCTTGGGTTGGTGTTGGCTGTAGTAAAAAAGAAGGAATATGCTTATTAATTATTTGGGTAAGTACAGTGTAGTCTTTGTGGTTGCATAGAAATAGAATTATATTTTCCAATGGTGTTTTGGATGAGAGGGAAGTCCTAGATTCTATTATTCTGAGATCTTGGAAATTGTTATCACTTGTTAGTAAGGGAGAAACTATTATGTTAGCTGATTTGAACCCACGAAATTGCATCTGTCTTAATTTTGCATAAGTATATTTTTTTTTTATTTCTCTGAGTAAATAATTTTTTGTGTATATAGATTTTGAGTTCCCCTTGAACTCTTTTTAATAAGATTTGTTTTGCCTATAAAAAAAAAGAATATAACAGGTCTCCTATCTTTTTAATGTCAAGTAATTATTTAAATTTTTAATATTTTTACTTTTTTTTTTTGCTAAAAATATTTTTACATTTTAAATTAAATTTTGTAATATAGCCTTTTTATATTATTTTTTTTTCAATTTATTCACATCTCACCTACTCTCATGGCTTCTTCCATCTATCTCCATGCCACCTTTCAACTGATAATCAAACGTCACCCTATTTTTAGACGCATTTGAAAATTATTTTTCGTTCTCAATAGCTATAGTGCGGCCCTTCCGTCACCTGAAAAAGGAGGAACGCTGCTTCTGTCATCGACGGCGCAAGATCATTATCGATGTGTCTTATGTCACCATTTGCCTCGTCGGTGTCACTGTGTAGGAAGGGAGCTTCACAACTGTCCTACATCTCAAAACCTTAAAAGCAATGGGTTGTGACCCCTAACTAGTCTATGTCTCCTGACTTTCTTCTTTTTATTTACACTTAATTCCAACATTTAGGAGGTCGCCAAAGCCAGAGCGCGATTCGGATGGAGATTAAATTCACAAGGTGCAAGTATAGTGATTTATTCTGGCTCGGCATTGTACCCGATCTAGATCGATTCGTTGGTCGGGATTCATATTTTATGGTTAAGCCAGGAGATCGATGACGTTGTACGGAAACGCACGTTTCAGAATTGATGTTATCAGAAGTTGAGTTGGAGGGTGGGTGTCCATTCCGGTGACCACCAATGATGATTCTCGCAATGGCACCACGGAACAACTTCTCCTACTTGTTATTTGTTGTCTAAGGCCAAAGGAGAAGAAAGAAAAGTTGCATCAGTGGCACAGAGAGAGAGAAGGGTGGGCCACAGAGGGAGTGCCGAGAAAGAAATCTTGAGGAAATTTGTGAAGCTAATTGTCGGACACATAAAAATGAGACATTGAAAAGGTTGTAGAAGACTCAAAACTAATAATTTTAAAAATTTTGAGGTTGAAGATGAGTTATTATAAAAATTTCAATATAATTTAAAGGACTAAATTAAAAATAAAAATATTATGAAAATATTATGACATGATACCATTAAAACATTAATTTCAATTTTATTGGTCATTAAATGGAGGGTTCTTAAACCCCTAAAATATGAAAGTACCAGAGAAATTTCCAACAAATTATCAAGGAGTTGACATGTGTTTTAGTAGAGTTTTGTTAATTATGATCCACATTTTTTAAGTTTTAATTATAAAAACAAAAGTTTTATTTTTAAATAAGATATGTACGCATTATTTATAATTAAACATACATTTTAAATACGTAAATAATTAATTAAATTATTTAATATTATAAATATTTTTAAAATATAATATTTTTAAAGAAAATAATATCTTTAATTAATTTTATTTATAAAATAATAATAATTTTATAATTTAAAAGTATAATTATTTTTTATTTTTATCTTAAAAATAGTTATCATCCTAAACTTCATTTTTAATTTTTTTAAGATTATTTTTTATATATAACATTTAAAAATTATATATATTGAAATATAAAATTTTTAAAAAATATATAAAAATATAGAGTTTAAATATTTTCAATAATAATTTTTATTGCAAGTAAAAAAATTCAAAAATGAAAATGAAAAAAAGTGATAAAGTCTTAAAAATTGTAAATGACAATTTTTAAAATAATAATAAAATATTTTAAAAATATATAAAAGTAGTTAAAATTTATTATAAATATTTTTGAAAAAATATATTTATGTAATTTTGAAAGAAAAACATATAAAGAAATCCTTATTTTTATTCAATTATTTATGAATACTTTTTTAAAATAGATATAATAAAAAATTATAATTTTTAATACAAATTAGATAATTAAATATAATATATTTTTATATTACCATTTTAAATAATTATTTTTTAAAAATGAAAGGAGTATATTTTATGATATATAATTATTTTTTGTTAATTTTAATAAAAAATATTTATTTTTTTATAAATAAGAAAAGAAACATTAATACAACAGAAGTGACGACCTCGCTTACCTCTCGGTTCCAGCCAGGTGTTAAATGCCATTACGTAATGCATTATGCCACTTTGACCAGTCCACAACTATCCTCTCTATATAAACCAATTTTCCATCTCTTCAGAGAACATACAAACGACAACACAATATCTCCACATCTAAATTCCAACTTTACCTTTTCCTACCATTAAACACTTGAATCTGTTTAGCATCCAAACTTTGAATTATGATTCAGACGCTTCTGCTGTTACTATCTTCCTTCTTCCTCTTCTTCATCCTTCCCATCCTCTTCTTCTTCCTCAGGGATTCATCCAAAGGTCTGAAGAAGAAAGAGACAGCTTCTACAGCTACCACCACCCTCCCAAAAGCATATCCACTCGTTGGTTCCTACTTAGCCTTAAAAGCCATCGGCAACCGTCGTATACAGTGGTTCTCCGATATTGTCAGAGTCTCACCGGCCGCCACCTTCACCTTCCACCGCCCCTTGGGCCACCGCCAAGTCTTCACCGCCAACCCCGCCACCGTACACCATATTCTCAAGACCCATTTCTCCAATTACCAAAAAGGCACCCTCTTTGTTCACACCCTCTCCGATTTTCTAGGCACAGGAATCTTCAACACAAACGGCGACAACTGGAAGTTTCAGAGACAGGTCGCCAGCCACGAATTCAACACTAAGTCTCTACGCAAATTCGTCGAACATGTCGTGGACGCCGAATTCTCCAAACGCCTCGTCCCCATCCTCGATTCAGCCGCAACACAAGACCAAACTCTTGATTTCCAAGACATTCTTCAACGATTCGCGTTCGACAACATCTGCAAAATCGCGTTTGGCTTCGACCCCGAATACCTAACGCCGTCCGTTGAACGGAGCAAGTTTGCGCAAGCCTTCGAAGATGCAACGGAGATCAGCAGCAAACGGTTCCGTGAGCCATTACCCATAGTTTGGAAAATCAAGAAACTACTTAACATAGGATCTGAAAAGAGACTGCGAAGCGCAGTTTCGGAAGTTCACGAATTCGCGGAGAAAATAGTGAGAGAGAAGAAGCGTGAACTGGAGGAGAAGTCCTCGCTTGAATCTGTGGACATGCTTTCGCGGTTCTTGAGTTCGGGGCACTCCGATGAGGACTTCGTGAAGGATATTGTGATAAGCTTTATACTCGCGGGCAAGGACACGACGTCAGCAGCGTTGACGTGGTTTTTCTGGCTGTTGGCGAAGAACCCGCGTGTGGAGAAAGAGATTGTGAAGGAGATAAGTGAAAAATCGGAGGCTCCGGTGTACGATGAAGTGAAAGAGATGGTTTACACGCACGCGGCGTTGTGTGAGAGCATGAGACTGTATCCTCCTGTGCCGATGGATTCTAAGGAAGCAGTAAACGATGATGTTTTGCCGGATGGGACAGTGGTGAAGAAAGGGATGATAGTGACTTACCACGTCTACGCAATGGGAAGAATGGAGAGTATTTGGGGCAGTGATTGGGCTGAGTTTAGGCCTGAGAGGTGGTTGGAGAGGGTTGAATCGGGAAAGTGGAGGTTTGTGTCGAGGGATTCATTCACGTATCCAGTTTTTCAAGCAGGTCCTAGGATATGTTTGGGGAAAGAAATGGCTTTTATGCAGATGCAGAGGTTGGTCGCTGGAATTCTGAGGCGGTTCGCGGTAGTTCCAGCTGCGGTGGAACAAGGGGTGGAGCCCAACTTCATTTCCTTCTTGACTTCCCATATGGAAGGTGGGTTCCACGTCAAGATCCTCGAAAGGGTTCATTCTAATTGAAGCCGATAGTCGACACTCGACACTATTACTCTTGCTATCAGAGACATAATGTATACATGTCGTTTTATTTAATTGTTTTTTAATAGAAAATAACTATTTTTCATGGATTTCAACATATACAAGAACGGTTGAATTGGTGTTAAGCAACTGAGGAGTTCTTGAATTTGTTTAGGAAAACGTTTCATGGATATCTCCTTGGGTCTACACACTTAGAGATAGATTAGAAAATAAAAAAGTCCATAAATATAATAAATAATGTAATTGTTTGGGTGAAAATTTTAAATTTACTCCCTTGTCAATTATGATACATGGTTGGATTGGTACCCTCTTATAAATTTAAAAGAGATTTTGTACTAATTTAACATAATTAACGAGACTAATAAATATGAAAAAGATATATAAAATAAGATAAATAAATAAAATTGAAAAGTAAAAATAACTCAAGACAATGTTATATTGAATTAATAAATAAAAAATAACAAAATATATGAACAGTAAATTTAAATTACAAACTCAAAAAATCTACACACTCGTTGTTTTCCATAATGTTGCCAAAATCAATCATGATATGCGAATTTAAAAGGTTTTCTCGAAATTTTGCCTAAAGAATCTCTAGTATAATGTTTGCAACCTTGTCTAATGTAAAGAAAAAACAAAACACCTAGACCAATTCCAAAAAGTCATCTTCTGAATCGGAATTAAAATAATATTTTATAGATTAACAAGAAAATAATTGTTGAATGGGCTAGAACAATTGTTATTGACTTACTATTGGTGTTGATTGCTATGACAAGTAATTATCATTAACTTATTTTTGGAAGTGGAAGTATGAGAATATTCAACTACCTAGATGAGCTTTTTTGGTGGAATGTTTCTAATTGAAATCATCTTCCTTACATTTGAGGCTTGGTTGTCCCTAGGTTGAAGCACATGAAGAGAAATAATTTTTGCTAATTTAACATTGAATATAAAATTATTATCATAGTGAACTCACTTGTTGATGTTGACCATTTAGATGAGATTAGTTGATAAACGCTAAATGTAGATTATATTCTCACAGTAAAACTATTTATAAGGACAAATAAACTTAGTTGATTCAATGTAAATGGAACTATACATGAAGATATATTCATAGTGGATTTACCTGTTGATGTCGATCACTTTGTTTATGTGTATCCTTGCTTGTAATTCCAGCAATTCAGGACCAACAATCTGGTTAAAATTAAAGCCTTTTTTAACATTTAAGCAATTTGGGATCAATAGTGTTATAAAAAATGTAAAAGTTTTTCATAGTGACCATGAAAACTTTAGAATGTAAAGGTCTTTATTGGTGAACTTGAGCCAATTACACACTTTGAGATAAAACTTCAACAAATGTCACTAGTATTGGAAAAATCAAAACCTAACACTGTAGAATTGTAAAAGGTTTGACGTAAAGAATTTTGTCAATCATTCACTTTAAGACAGTAACTTTGACATATGCCCTTAACTAATAATGAAAAGTATTTGCAGTGACATTTAGAATATGGTTAATCATATACCCTGATATGTAACTTTGATAGAATAGAACTCGTGTTAATCATATATTTCACCCTAAAGTGTAACTTGACATTGTATAATTTGTGTCAATTTATGCGCTTAATCTTAAGATGTTAAGTATATATAATTGTTTTTGTACTTCTAAGAGTTAGAATACTCTAAGTATATTGTGGTCAAAACTACTATGATTTGATTTCAATCAAATAAATGCCTTTTAGTGGTGAACTTTATAATGTGTCACTTAACTATTTATGTAGTTTGAAAAATTAGCACTTTTGTGACATTTTTGTGGGCGAACTATCATCTTCACTAATACTTTTAGTCAAATTTTAATGTTCCAACAATAATATAACAATAATTAAAAAAATATGAAAGCAATATTCATAACATTTAGATATTATTTATTTTAATGTCCGATCTTCTTATATTTTGAAAAGTATTATTCACCATAAATATCATGTAATATTATTGCATGTGACAAGACAAAAATTTGATTTAAAAATGGATAATCAGTTTAATTAAATAATTTAATAAACTTTTACATAATTACATCAATTTAATTATAAATTGTATTTTAAAAATTTTATTAAAATCAATTTAAAAAGTTATGAATTATTTTTTAAAAATTCTTTATCAATTCTTTCACCCCATCCTTTTCAAATTTGAAGAATATTAGAGTAAAAGAGGTAGATTTGCTTGCAGTGTATCGAGGAGACTTGGAGGTGATGTGGCCAAAGTTGCAAAGAAAATTTTCTTTATTTAATTTTTTTTATAATTAATAAGATTAAACGTTTTTGTTAAAATGTTGGGGAAAGGAAATCCTGTACTTCATCCTTCCAATTTTCAATATTATATATTTGATCAAACACGAGGATTTTTGGGTCACAAGCGCGCTCTATTGAATGTTAGTATAGATAAAGTAGCACAGGTCAAAGGACATAGGTTCCACTTACTTTCCTTCTAGTCCACTGAGTTAGACTGATTCTTTGTCCCGTCAAAGGTAATATTTGGGCTTTTTTATTTAAATAATGTAAATTAAAAATCTAATTCTTAAAGTATAGATTTTTTCAAACTAATTTCCTGTGTCTAGGGTGGATATGCCACGTTGGCTATAAATTTCACCAAAACAGCTGGCAAAAATTAATTTTTTTAATTTTTTAAATAATAAATTTCGTCATTGATAACGCGAAATTAATTAAATTGCAGCACGTGTCAGAGTATCAACAGTTTCGCCATTTAAATGGCAAAATAAATGTGAAGTTTCGCCCCCACCGTTGCGCAACTAATAAGGAACTGACGCGTGGATCTGACTCAATTGTTTCGCCACTAAAAACGCAAAAAATGAAAAATAAAAATACATAAAATTTAAAATAGACAGATGGAAAGTGGCGAAGACACGTGGCAAGATCGTACGTGTTGCGCGCTGTTAGTGGCAAAAGTTAGTTTCGCCATTATTGTGGCGAAACTAATGGAAGGGTGACACGTGGCGGGCGGCACAGTAACCATCTCTGCCCCTTCTTCCTCTTTGGTTTCTCTTTTTTTTTCCATTTCTTCTTCTTCCATCCGACGTCCCTCCTCTCTTCCATTTCTGTTTGTTTTTTCATTGCCTAAAGCTTGCAAGGTGTTCATAATTTTGGGTAAGATTTTACAGTTTTTATTTATTTTAAGATAATGATATTATTTATATTTATATATAATTATATATTGTGTTTATTATTTTAAAATGCTGAAAGATTTAAAACGTATTTTATTTTGCAGGTTATTACAAGTTTAGGGAGTAGTGAAAGATTTAAAAGAAGCTTAACAAAGGTTAATAAAATTGATTTAGTTAATTTTTAATTATATTTCATTAATTTATGTTTAGATTAATAGGTTAAAAAATAAAGTTTGACTGATTATGTTAAATTATAAATATTTTTTGTAGTCAAAGAATAATATAATAATATTTGTTAATTAAATGTTAGTAAAAGATTATTAATATGATGTTGTATAATATAATTGTTATATATTTATTTAGAGAATAATACAAAATTAGTTAAAAAATAATTTAATAACAATAATAAAAAAATATTTGGTTTAATTGTAAAAAATATTTTTGATACCTAAATAAATTTCAATTATGGGAATTTTTAAACCTAATAAAATATTTTTTATATATTATGATAAATATGTTAGTAATTTGTATGTAAAAAAAATTATTGTATTATGTAAAATATTTATTTTAATTTAATTTTTAAATGTAAATGAAATTTTGTGTGATTAAATTTTTAAAATTAAATAAGATTAATTAAATATATTATAATTAAGTTAGTAATTTGTATGTGAATATAAAAAACAAATTATGATATTACGTTAGTTATATGTTTAAATTTTAATTTGAATAAAATTATACTTGATATGTAATGATAGAAATAATTATTATTAGTTAAGTTAGTTAAATTTATGCTTTTAATTAAGTTGTTGTAATTTAAATATTTGTATGAACATATTTGTTAGAATAAAATTATGCTTATACAAAGGTAGGACATATTTGTTAGAATTTTTGTCTAATTAGAATGTGGTTAAAATTTTATAATAAATTAAAAAAAGTTGTAATTAGACATGTTAGGTATTTTTGTTAAATGTGATAATGATTTGTGCGTAATAATAAGCATTTTATAGAATTATGTTAGGTTCATATTTTCATTAAACAAGAAATACTAATAATTTTATTGACGAATGAAGTTGATATTTCTATGTATATGTTGTTTTTATTTTATTTTTTTGTATAGATGGCATCATCTTCGGGACATAATAGGGTTATTAATTCTGAGTCAGAAGATTCATCACTTCTTCGATTTCAGAGTTTTCATGTCTCTGAACATATTTGGGATGGACGTGATCATCCAATGTTGAGGGTTAGGAAGAGTCAAAATATTCCTGGTGGATTAGTTATTCCTCAGGAAATTATTCCACATTTAGAGTTAGCCGATTTTATTGGAGTGGCTAACTTATCCTAATTTTCTCTGGATGTGGGACTGATTACTGCACTAGTTGAGAGGTGGAGGCCTGATACGCACACTTTTCACTTGTTCCCTGGAGAGTGTACTATTACTCTACAGGATATTGCTATCCTATTGTGGCTACGCATAGATGGGAGACCGGTTATAGCACCTACTGGAGGTGATTGGACTCAGATTGTTAAAGACCACCTAGGTATCAGACTAAGGCCAGAGGCTTTTGTTGGGAGTTTTTTGAAGATGAGCTAGTTGGATGAGCACTTTAATCATATTGGGATGCATAATGAGAATGCTCTGCAGATTACTCGGTTTGCTAGGGCATATATATTGAGGCTGATTAGAAGGTTCATGCTTCCTGATCACTCTAGCAATAGAGTCTCTGTGAGGTATTTAACTTTACTTGATGACTTTGAGTTGACGGGTCAATATAGTTGGGGATCTGCAGTTCTAAGTTATTTGTATCGAGAGCTATGCATGGCCACCAATATTGATCGTGTTGATATTGGAGGACTTGCTGCGTTGATTGTGATATGGGCTTGGGATAGATTTCCCCATCTAGCACCTAGTAATCCCCCTCATATACGTCTCAATCTTCCATATGGTGTGAGGTAAGTTGGAATAGAATTTTGTATGCATTTATTAGGATTTTACCCTTCAACCTATGTTGATGAGGTAATATATGTTTGTATTAAAACTTCTCTTGCAGATGGTTATCACATGGTACAAGGAAAGGAAAGAAGGATGTCCAGTCATACAGATATATATTAGATTGTTTAACACGTGATGAGGTAATAAATAATTTTCAGCTAGGGCACATATATTTAGTATTAAAAAAACTTGAGTTATTAAACACTTATTGGTATACCATATTTTAATTAATTGTCGTGAATGTTTTTTTACAGATTGTATGGGTGCCATACAAAATGAAGCTCATCAATATGTTGCCACCTATCTGTAGAGACAGTATGGACTTATGGAGGGCAGTGGTGCCCTTGGTATGTTTTCAGGTATGTGAATGGTACCAACCTGATCGAGTGATGCGTCAATTTGGTATGATACAACATATACCTAGGGCTCTTTACCAGCCTAACCAGGAG